TGTAGAAATATATGTAGTATTGCTTGTGTAGAGTGAAACTTGCCCATAACTCAATAAACTGGTCAAATTGGTACACAAATCCTTCTGAATGACTCATTCTATCGGTCTGAAACAAAATAATTTCAAACATCCTTACCCAGTAATCACATATGACTGGAAAACTTTCAGAAATTCACTGGTAGATTGGAAACCCTGAAAAAATAGGTTTGGGAATAAAGCTGCTGCTCGTCTTTTGTTTGTATCCAGTGAATCAATGATTCAAGAACTCACAAATGTCAATCATTATTGCACAACTGCATAAATGTTGTATTTATTAGAGACATTATGTAAAAAAGTGTGCTCTTACATGTTTTCTTATGGAATGGGTTTCTGGTGGTAGGATGGAGAACAGTCAAGATGCTGCCATTGACGCAGATTGTTAAGATGCTGTGTGTGCATTTGTCATCAGCTGTGGTCATACACGTTCAGTAAACAATTGTACGGTCTTCATCCTGAGTTTTGATAAAAAGTACAGTTTGTCACAGGCTGAGAAATGACATGGAATGAAAAGGAACTTCAACTGATGTGTGGATAAAAGCGGCAGAACATTAAAGTCAGAATGGAGAGTGGATGGAGTCCTAAGAATCTATGAAAACAGGTCCTTAACACTTCAGCCCTGTCCCAAATGCTGCTCTTGTGTATTTCCTTTGATTTAATTCTGCATGGAAGTTCACTGCAAGGTATGAACACCATTTTTATGTTAAAATGATAAATGGGACAACCTGCAATCCTGTGGACTTGACGGACCGCAGGCTCACATCAAGTGCACCATTTGGGACTGGGCCATAAAGTGGCTCTTAATCATTCTGACAGATTTACACGTTGCTTGTTAAACTGTATTAGCATGATGCAGCACCACAGCACAGCCAGTTCAGAAATGCATGAACGTCAGTGAAGCTTGACAATAAAAAAACTCTTAACTTCTTTTCGAAGGTTTCCACATCCATCGGAACACAGGCTCTACGAGATCAACGTATGATCAAAGATGATTTCATCCACCAGTCACAATATGTGGAAGTACAATAGGCTCTTGCATGATTTCATTGGTTCATAGTGTGTTTGGGGGAATGTCCTCAATGAGTTATGAGCGGAGAGGTTAGAGAGCTCCTATCCTGTGATGTGGCACTTGTAGGGTCTGCAGGTTGGGGCAGGTGAAGTATGGCGCAGGCAAGAAACACGTCGCCACTCCATTCGAAGCGAATGGGAGCGTCGGCCCATAAAAAACCTCCTCTTTCCCCTTGGTGCTCACATCTAGCACCTGCCAAACAGACAAATGATGGCATCTCAACACTAATTATCCAACA